AATTTTACCATACTTACAAAGAGAACTAGTACCTATCTTGCAGAAACTATCCACAACATTGAGAAGAACGGAAACCTCCCAACACCTTTATGAAGGGAATATTACTCTGATACCAAAACCAGGAAAGGATGCAATAAAAAAAGAAAACTACAGACCAATATCTCTAATGAATATAGATGCAAAAATTTTCAACAAAATCTTAGTTAACCGAATCCAGACACTTATCAAAAAAATAATCCACCATGACCAAGTGGGCTTCATCCCAGGGATGCAGGGATGGTTCAACATACGTAAATCTATAAATGCAATTCACCACATAAACAGAAGCAAAAACAAAGACCACATGATCCTTTCAATAGATGCAGAAAAAAGCTTTTGCACAAATTCAACACCCTTTCATGATACGAACACTTAAGAAAATAGGCATAGAAGGACATACCTAAAAATGATACAAGCCATATATGACAGACCTATAGCCAATATCATACTGAAGGGGAAAATTGAAATCATTCCCACTTAGAACGGAACCAGACAAGGCTGCCCACTATCTCCACTTCTGGTCAACATAGGCTGAAGTCTTGTGACACGCAATCAGACAGAAAATGGAATCAAAGTGATCCAAATAGGGCAGAAGGATCAAACTTTCACGTTTGCTGATGATTGATTATATGTATCATGAAAACCCCAAAGATTCAACCAAGAAATCCTGGAACTGATCAATTGAATAATTAGTAAGTTCAGGATACAAAATCAATACACAGAAGTCAGAGGCATCATGAGCATTCATATACGCCAACAACAATCTAATGGAGAACCAAATCAAAGACTCAATTCCTTCACAATAGCAACAAAGAAATTAAAGTACCTAGGAATATACTTAACCAAGGACGTAAAAGACCTCTATAGGGAGAACTATGAAACACTGAGAAGGAAATACAAGAGGATATAAACAGATGGAAATCCATACTATGCTCGTGATCGGCAGACTCAATATCATCAAAATCTATTCATACCCCTGATCTACAGATTCAATGCAATACCTATTAAAATCCCATCAGCATTCTTCACAGATATAGAAAAATAATTTTCCGTTCGTATGGAACCAAAGAAGACCCCGAATATCAAGAGCAATTCTAGGCAACAAAACAAAATGGAGGCATTAATATGCCAGATATCAAACTATACTACAAACTGTAGTAATTAAAACAATATGGTATTGGCACAAAAATAGGAATATTGACCAGTGGAACAGATGTGAGAATCCTGATATAAAACCATCCTCATATAGCCATCTAATCTTTGACAAAGCAGACAAAAACATACGCTGGGGAAAAGATCATCTCCTTCAATAAATGGTGCTGGGAAACTGGATAGCCACCTGTAGAAGCTAAAACAGGACCCACACCTTTCACCTCTCACAAAAACCAACTCACGCTGGATAACAGACTTAAACCTAAGGTAGAAACTATTAGAACTCTAGAGAAAATGTTGGAAACACTCTCCTAGACATTGGCCTGGCAAAGAGTTATGAAGAATCCCCAAAGCAATCACAGCAGCAACAAAAAAAATAAATGAGACATGATCAAACTACAAAGCTTTGCACAGCAAAGAAGATATCATGAAAGTAAACAGACAACCTACAGAATGGGAGAAATTTTGCATCTATGCATCCGATAAGGGACTGATAACTAGAATTACTTAAACTCACGAAAATCAGGAAGAAAAAATCAAATAACCCATTAAAACAGTGGGCAAAGACTTGAACAGAAAATTTTCTAAAGAAGACAGAAGAATGGCCAACAAACATATGAAGAAATGCCAACATCTCTAATCATCAGGAAATGCAGATCAAAACCACAATAATGAGATATCACTTAACCCCAGTGAGAATGGCCTTTATCAAAAAATCTCCAAACAATAAATGCTGGCGTGGTTGCGGAGAGAGAGGAACACTCCTACACTGCTGGTGGACTTGCAAACTAGTTCAACCTCTGTGGAAAGCAATATGGAGATACCTTAAAGCGATACAACTGAATCTACCATTTGATCCAGCAATCCCATTGCTGGGCATCTACCCAAATGATCCAATGACACTCTACAAAAAAGACACCTGCACTCGAATGTTTATAGCAGCACAATTCATAATTGCAAGGCTGTAGAAACAGCCCAAGTGCCCATCAATCCAAGAATGGATTAATAAAATGTGGTATATGTATACCATGGAGTACTATTCAGCTCTAAGAAACAATGGTGACATAGCACATCTATATTATTCTGAGGATAAGCTGGAACCCATACTACTAAGTGAAGTACCCAAGAATGGAAAAACAAGCACCAGATATATTCTCCAGCAAACTGGTATTAACTGAGTAGCACCTAAGTGGACACATAAGGTACTACAATAATAGGTATTGGGCAGGTGGCGAGCGGGAGGGGAGCGGGTATATACATACATAATGAGTGAGATGTGCACCATCTGGGGGATGGTCATGATGAGACTCAACTTTTGGGGAGGGGGAAATGGGCATTTATTGAAACTTAAAACATGTACCCCCATAATATGCCGAAATAAAAAAAAAAAAAAAAGAAAGATATCCATGCTCATGGATTAGAAGAATCAATATTGTTAAAATGTCCACACTAACCAAAGCAATCTACAGATTGCAATCTACAGAATGCAATCCCCTTCAAAATATCAATGACATTCTTCACAGAAATAGAAAAAAAAAAAGGCCTAAAATTTATATGGAACCACAAAAGACCCAGAATAGCCAAAGCCATCCTGAACAAAAAGAATGAAACTAAAGAAATCATATTACCTAACTTAAAATTATACATAGAGCTTTTTTTTTTTTTTTTTTTTTTTTTTTTTTGAGACAGAGTCTCACTTTTGTTGTCCAGGCTAGAGTGAGTGCCGTGGCGTCAGCCTAGCTCACAGCAACCTCAAACTCCTGGGCTCAAGCGATCCTTCTGCCTCAGCCTCCCGAATAGCTGGGACTACAGGCATGTGCCACCATGCCCGGCTAATTTTTTTTTTTTATATTATATTCAGTTGGCCAATTAATTTCTTTCTGTTTATAGTAGAGACGGGGTCTCGCTCTTGGCTCAGGACTGCAGGCTGGTTTTGAACTCCTGACCTTGAGCAATCCGCCCGCCTCGGCCTCCCAAGAGCTAGGATTACAGGCGTGAGCCACAGCGCCCGGCCACATAGAGCTTTAATAACCCAAACAACACAGTACCAAGCATAAAAACACACACATGGACCAGTGGAACAGAATAGAGAACCCCCAAATATATCCACACATATATAGTGAACTTATCTTTAATACAGTTCAAAAAAGACAGTCTCTTCAATAAATGGTGCTGGGAAAACTGGATGTTCATATGAAGATGACTCTTCTCTCTCACCACACACAAAAGTCAAAACAAAATGTATCAAAGACTTGAATCTAAGACCTGAAACTATGAAACTACTAAAAGAAAACATTGGGGAAACACTTTAGGACATTGGGCTGTAACGATTTCTTGAGTAATATTCCAAAGCACAGGCAACCAGAGCAAAATTGGACAAATGGGATCACATCAAGCTAAAAAGCTTCTGCACAGCAAAGGAAACAATCAGCAAAGGGAAGAGAGAACCCACAGAATGGAAGAAAATATTTGCAAACTACCCATCTGACAAGGGATCAATAACTAGAATGTACAAGGAGCTGCAACAATTCAACAGGAAAAAATCAAATAATCCCATTAAAAAATGGGGACAGGATCTGAATAGACATTTTTCAAAAGAGGACATATCAATGGCCAACGGGTATATGAAAAAATGCTCAATATCATTAGTCATCAGAGAAATGCAAATCAAAACTATAATGAGGTATCACCCCACCCATTAGAATGGCTGTTATCAAAAAGACAGGCAATTATGAATGTTGGCAAGGATGTGGAAAACGGGAAACCCTCGTACACTGTTAGGGGAATGTAAATTAGTGCAACCACTATGGAGAACAATATGGAGGTTCCTCAAAAAACTAAAAATAGAACTATCATATGACTCAGCAATCCCACTGCTGGGTATATATCCAAAGGAGGGGAATTCAGTATATCGAAAAGATATCTGCACTCACATGTTTACTGCAGTACTATTCACAATAGCCAAGATTTGAAATCAACCTAACTGTCCATCAACTCATGAATAAATTGGTACATATCCACAAGGGAATATTATATAGCCAAAAAATAATGCAATCTTGCCATTTGCAACAACAGGATGGAACTGGAGAATGTTAAGTGAAATAAGCCAATCACAGAAAGACAAATCTTGCATATTCTCAACTCATATGTGGGAGCCAAATACTACAACCAATTATCTCATGGAGACAGAGATAGAATAACAGTTATCAGAGGCTGGGAAGGGTAGAGGGGAGGGGAAGATGATGTTATATATAAAATGTCCATAAAGTAGGTACTCAATAGTAAGTAATGGGGAATATGAGTATTAATAAAAACCAGAGGCCCATGACAGAGTGATTCTCTGTAATAAAAGGAACCAGGGTTTGGGGTCAGACAGACTTAAATTAGTGGCTATCTCTGGCACATCTACATGTGGTCTTGTCTTGTGGTTCAAAGTAAAAGGGGCTACACTACATCTGTTTTCCTCTTCCTGGGCTATATATACCCCAGAGATTGAGAACACCAGCCAGTTTAAGTCAATCACAGAGTGAATATCTGACTCAACATGACATCTATTTGGTGAACACAAAGAGCTCTCTGGTTCAATGGACCTGGAATTTGGTCACTAGCCATGTGACTTAGGGTAAATTACATAATCTTTCTCATTTTGCCTTATCTTTCAAATGACTCTTTTTGCCAAAGTAAGCATATTTCAAAGACTTTTAAAAAATGTTAAAGGCTAGTTTTGTTAGTTATTTGCAATGAAAACAGCCTGCAGGTTTCTAGTATAAGGTTCCCATTTTATAATAGAAAGAAATAGATTAACACTATTTTAGAACCTTTCATAACAGATATTTGATACTTTTATTGTTGGGGGAAAGTTATTATCAATTTATAACATTCCCAAAAACACAACTCTGAAAATGCCAGTTTTGTTCTTACAGAACTCAAAACTTGAATAGTATACCCATCATACAGTCAGGAAGTACAACAATCCCTGAAAAAATAAAAAAAGCAAAAATGCCAAGATCTTCTCCAACCACAATTATTTTTAATCTATGAAATAGAATTTCCTTACAAATTAGGTAGTTTTTACAGTCGTGATAGTTATCATTGATGTGATCTGTTTGTTTAATATGACTGTAGTCAAAAGGGAAGTTGGGCCTGTTATTTTTCTAGAAATTGAAAAAAGTACCATCATTAAGAAAAGGAAGAGAAAGATTTGTATCCATCCTTTTGGGACATATAAGGTGAGAGTGAAGTCTCACAGTTGGAGAATTTGTGGATATTGCTGGAGGAATTGGAGATGCTCTCTAGTAAGCGGGTAATCCCTCTTCCCCGAACACTGCTGTTTTGGCCAGAAATTTTCACCCCAGATGGGTAGTCACCTAGGGTATTGAAAATATGAAAAAAGAAACATAGCAATTTTATAATTTTATTATAAAGAGATGCCTCAAACAACTGACTCATCCTACTACAGGCTCTTACTACCCATAATTAAATGGATCAAGAATAGGAGAGAGATTCTTACAGACAAAAGACTGAACAAGAATGTTTCTTTTCATTCTTAGGCCAGGAAATGTTAACCAAAATTTTTTAGGCACCACTTGAAATTTCTTGTCTTTTAAAATTTCTTGTCTCCCAAAAGAAATCATCACATCAAAACTATAAAACTATAGCTACTATAAGAAAAACAGGTACCTTAAGTACCTGTTTAAGTACCCTGAACAAAATTCTGAGGAATAAGATACACTGTGTCAAACTGATCCAAAAATGTACACATTGATATTGTTAAAGGTGCTAATTCTAAATAAAACCACCAATTCAACAAGCTACTTATATCCCAAAACTAATTTGGAAACATTGGTTTAAATATCATCCCTGGGATCTAGATAATAAGCTTTGAGGCCCTAACATCCTTTAAGTAAATTTTGATAAAATATAAAATGCTTACCAATGGGTGTGTTTGATCTTTGTTCCTGATTAGAATAGTTGAAATGAGAGAATCCTGGACTCTCAACCCTTAGCTTCTGTAAATAATAAAAATACCAGAGGAAAAAAATGTTTACTTCTTGTCAATTATTGGATGGTTTTTAATTTCAAATTACTCTTTAAAAATGATAACATTCAAATACTTTTCCAATGTCTGATCAACTTCTGCTGCAAAAGAAGTAGAGAAATAGGGTAGACTTTGCAGGAAAATTGGGAATTAGAGGGTTAAGAAAAGGTTTGCTTTTTTTTAAAAGATGAGATTATAACATGTTTGCTAATAAGAATGAATCAGAACATAGAAAAACCTGATGACACAAGAAATAGGAAAATTACTGGAGCCATGTCTTTCAGAGAATGAGATCTAAAATATGAACATTTTTAGATATGAACATAGACCATTCACTAAAACAGAAGTAAAGCAGGAGAGATGCAGGTAGATGAGATGATAGGAATATGTAGACAATCTCTCCTGATTAATTCTATTTTCTCAGAGAAACAGGAGACAAAGGCATCAGCTACAAGGGTTAGGGAAGAAGTGATGGAAGTTTGAAGGCAAAAAAGGTGAGAAGTAACTGTCTAAGAGAGTAGGAGACTAATCACACTACAGAAATGGATAACTGACAGGCAATATTAAAGGGCCCACTTAAAGTTGGTGATGATGAATATTCAGTAAGATCAGTCAGCATGATAGTTTCTTTCCAGCCTTGTTTAGCTTCATAGGTATAAGAGAGTCAAGTAGGAGAAGAGTTAGATTTAATAAAGGTTAGTATTTATCAACTATGATGAAGAAAACAGAGCCAATGGAGTTGACAATGAGTGCAAGGCAGTGGAAATGACAGACCAAGGAGTTTAAGCTGGGAAGGAAGGAGGTGAGAGGGAGGGATGAAGGTAGTAAAGGAGGAGACACGAGGCTGCAGCATTACTGGTGTGAATGGTGCCCCTGGAGTTGTGCAATGCAGTGGCCCTGTAAGGGAAAGTAACATAGTGGAGGCATAAATGAATTGTAGGTCCTTGTAGTGGTAAAAGAACTGCTGACACTAGGGTACTAGAGGAAGAGAGTGGTAGCCAGGATGATGTTTGAAATTTAAATTATAGAGGAAGTGCCATTGGGGTCCAGGATATGATCATGGGAGTGGGAATGCGTGTGGTAGAAGACAGGACCATTGGAGAGGAATCACAGAACTGAGAGGTCAGGCAGCTGGATTACCTACAGAGAAGCTAAAATAAGAAATTCTGATGTGAAAACTGATCTTCTGGCACAGTGATGCTCTAACAATGAGGAAGATCAAATTCAGGAGTCTATTGACCCTGAAAAGGGGTTGTCAGGTCCTACAGCCTTAATGGCATGAGATTCAAAGCCTAGGAATTTTAGAGAGAAGGTATAAGGAAGTCTGGAAGCTGCAATCAAGGACAACTACTTCAAATGCAGGCTCATTAAAAATGAGGGAGAGAAAGATGTCACCATTTGAAAGGGCTAACAGAGAAGCAGCATCCTGGGGGGAGGGTCAAGTTTTAATTAGAACCAGGAAGGTAAACAGATTTCCCCCCAAAGTGGAAGATAGCTGAGATTTAGCTGATAACTGAGGCTGAGAAGATCCACAGAAAGGTTTCTGAGAAGTTGGGGAGGGCTGGGAAACAGAATCAGCCAAATAAGATGAGTCTGGGAGATGACAGAGAATCTAGGAGTCCTGGGCTTCCCAGAGTAACTGATATAAACAATGAAAAGGCACATTATTGAGATTAATTATGGTGATGACGAGGCAAACAGGGTTTCTTAACCTGGGCACTAATGACATTTTAGGCTAAATAATGCTGAGCTGTGGAAGGCCGTACTATATAGACAAAATACTTAGCAGCATCCTTGGCCTTTATCCACAAGATGTAGGTAGTACAAACCTCCCCAGTTGTGACAACCAAAAATGTGTTGACATTGCCAAATGTCCCGTGCAGTAATAGTCCCCAACCTTTTTGGCACCAGGGACAGGTTTCATGGAAGACAACTTTTCCATGGAGGGTGGGGTGGGGGTGGGGGGTGGGGGTGGAGCTCAGGTGGTGATGCAAATGATAGGGAACAGCTGTACAGATGAAGCTTCGTTCATCTCCTGTGCACACCCTCCCACCACTTGCCTTTCCCAGTTCCGGTCCACAGCCCAGGGTTGGGGACTACAGCCCTGTAGGACACAAAATTGAGTTGAGAACCACTGGGCAAACAGTTAAAATCTGGAGGAGACAGAAGGGTCTTGTCCAGAGTATATGGGGAGAGCTCTGGAGTCCCTCCTTTTCAAGTCTCTTCAAGAATGTCACGTAAATGGAATCATACAGTATGTTTATACAGTACATAATTTTTGGAGACCGCTTCTTTCTTTCACTTAGCATAATTAATGTCTTTGAGATTCATCCTAGTTGTTTGTATCAATAGTTCATTCCATTTTTTGTTTTCTTTTTTATTAACTGTTACCTATTTTTAAATAATAACATTTATTTATAACCTAGTATATTCCAAGGCAAAGGTCTCGACATTTTCACATATTGCTGCATTTAATTGTAAGAGCTACTAGCCCCTATTATTGTTCTTGTTAAGGAATTAGCACAGATCAAGTAACTTGCATAAAGCCTGTATATAGCGGGTTTTGTATTTATTTCCCAAAATAAAATTTAGGATTCTGACTCTAGAACCCACACTCTTAACTGCTACACTTAATAGTGTAAACAGGACTACTAATAAGTAAAAAAGAGAGAGGAACGATGGTAGAGAAATTAAGTTTTTATCCAAATCCTCAATCAGGTCTTAAATATTTTTGAAGAAGATATTTAGAATATTTATGTTATCTACATTCATATATTTAGTTTTTAGAATAGATCTTTGGATGTGTTTTGTATAAACACTAAATGCCAATGTAAATTTTCTTAAAATTTTGTTAAATGTAGTAAGAAAATATACCAGGAAGGAAAAGGATTTTATGCAAGATCCAACTGAATTAGATTTGACATGACACGAGGGATTTGAAAATAATTTTTAAGGGAAAGGAAAGAACCAAAGGCTTGATTCTTAGCTATTATTGACCAGGACTACATTGGGTAGGACAGCCAGAGAGACCAGTAAGCTCCCACAAGTTAGCTCACCTGGTAACGCCCTGCATCCAATACAACCATTTTTGGAGTCACACTATTGCTGGCCTCATAATCTTGTAGTGGTACATGAGCTTCTGTGAGCTGGATTCCAAAGAGAGTAGCCAGAGAATTACTGATGCAGTACCTTTAAAAGGAAAAAAGAAAAAATTCACTATCAGAATCTCATTTTATTTACTCTAAAAGCATTTGTATTTTAAAATCTCTAACATAAAGAAAGCATCTCAAATACCACTTTAAACTGAGAAAAAATAAATTTAGAGATTCAGAGAAGAGAAAGGAATATGTAGCAATATACATCATATAACAGGTTATTATCGGTAAGCAATCTTCTGGTTACCAGATAAAATTTCAGGTTCATTATAAGGGAATGGGAATGAGGGTTAAGATTAACAGGATTCAAAAATATTTAAGGCAAGGAGAGGGCAGCAGCAGAAATAAGACTACAACCATAAACACTCACGTATCCTCAGAACCAATAATCATCTGCTCTGTGAAAGGGCTACCAGAGGACCCAGATAGCTGGGGCTCCAGGTGCTTTTACTACAGAACGAGAACAAAACGGTCTCTGCTTTTAGAGCACCTTCACAAAGAAATGTCTTTAGTGATAGTAGGGAATTTCACTCTCCTACAGGAGTCCTAGAAGAAAATTTTTCTTTTCCTTTTTGAGTCAAGAGTCTCACTCTGTTGGCCGGGCTAGAGTTCTGTGGCATCAGCCTAGCTCAAAGCAACCTCAAACGCCTGGGCTCAAGCGATCCTCCTGCCTCAGCCTCTACAGACATGCACCACTATGCCCGGCTAATTTTTTCTATATATTTTTTGTTGACCAATTAATTTCTTTCTATTTTTAGTCAAGACAGGGTCTCGCTCTTGCTCAGGCTGGTTTTGAACTCGTGACCTTGAGTGATCCCTCCAGCCTTGGCCTCCCAGAATGCTAGGATTACAGATGTGAGCCACTATGTCCGGCTGAAGGAAAATTTTCAACAAGTGCTTCTGAAGGGTTCACACAAATTGCTTAGGTGAATAGTGACATGGACAGACGAATAAAAGTAACATGAAGTAAAAAATCACCTTTGGTTTAAAATAGAACTGTAGAAATAGAAGTGACTAGAGATTCACCCCAGCTGCCAAAGCAACAGCAAGCAAAATGGCAAAGAATTCAATGCAGAACAACACATCACTATGAAGAAACCCCTTTCTCCAACTTACGCAATCTTCCTGCAAACAGCTAAAGCACAGAAGAGAATATCATTTTCTTCATGCCATTTGCACCTGTACATTAAAAAAAAAGAACTTTAATATCCTAACTGAAATAGTATTAAGGGTTTTTATATGTGAAGATTTCTAAGGTACTTACCTGAAATCATTAAGAAAAATTGACACAGTTACTCAGAGATTAAGACTCCTAATTTAACACACAAAAAAATTTTTTAGAGACAAATTCTATGTTATTTCCTCTGATAAAATTCATGATATTATGCAAATTATACATAACCATAACAGTTAAATTTTACCTGGAAATAAAATGAGCATTCTAGTCACATTAGTGACTAAGATTAACATGCACTCATTCAACATTTACTGAATGCACACTATTTGTGCAGGCATTGTTAGGCACTGGAGCTACAATATTAAATAAAATAGAAACTACTGTCCATACAAAACTTACTTTCTAGTGGGGAAGACAGACTAAAAAAGATAGCAAGCATAACACACAGTAATTTAGAAAATGGTAAGTTCTAAGGAGAAAAAAATGAAAAAGATGATATGAAATTTTGGGGAGAGACAACATTTTAGGTAAGGTGCAGGAAAGGCATCACTAAGGTGGTGGTGTTCGAGTGAAAACCTCAGGAGGTGATGTTGGAGAGGAAATTTATGTGATATAATACAAGGTTACATGTACAAAACAACATACTTTCATGACAAGAGCCACTATAAACTTATATCTATCCACTGGGTACATAATCTATTAAGACTCAGAACAGCACTACTCACACAATGCAAAACTTGCCTAAACCTAGCAAGAATTCTTCATTTAAAATTACAAACATGGCCAGGCGAGGTGGCTCAGGCCTGTAATTCTAGCACTCTGAGAGGTCGAGGTCGGGGAGGGTGGATTGTTTCAGTTCAGGAGTTCCAGACCAGCCTGAGCAAGAGCAAGACCCTGTCTCTACCAGAAACAGAAAAAATTAGCCAGGCATGGTGGTGCATGCCTGTAGTCCCAGCTACTCGGGAGGCTGAGGCAGAAGAATTACTTGGGCCCAGGAGTTGGAGGTTGCTGTGAGCTAGGCTGACACCATGGCACTCTAGCCAGGGCAACAGAGTGAGACTCTGTCTCAAAAATAAATAAATTAAAATAAAATAAAACTACAAACATGCTAACAGTACAAGTATAAAAAATCTGTTACTTACACTGAACAAAAGTTATTTAATGGAATGGAAGACTATCTAAAAAATAAGATGAAGAATTTCCTACTGTTTTTCCAAAGAAAACTAATCTAATAAATGTGATTCATAAAATTCTTAACTCTTAAAATTAAGCCTTAGGTTAAAACTAAACCTAATTTCTTATACAAGCACATAGAATCAAGTTATTTGTAGTTTCTAATTAGTTCTGCTCCTTGTCCAGAATTCAAACCCCAAGTATATCCCCTATCTCGTGCACATTTTCCATTGGAGATCAGATCTTAAATGAAAGCAACTAAAAAACTAACAATATACTCTAGGATTAAAACAAACAAAAAAACCTTACGAAAATCTCATCCTGGGGAAAAATGCCTCCCAATCTATAGTTACACTATTAAGAATGACATTGTTTTGATCTGTTTTTACTCATACTTCTTGATCCTCTTCCTCCAAATCATCCCATTACTCTCTCTAAAAATGAGTGTATTTCCTAGCAAAGGAAGGTTCATTGTATCAATCGGTCAAAAATCAGAATTGCTTTGTATATTTTGTTAAGCTAAAGTCATAGCTTACTCCGAAAGCTCCAACGCAATCTCATTCACTCAAATGATGTGCAGCATAAAGGCCTTCTTTATCTCAAAAGGTCCCAAAGATCTCTTTTCCTCCTATTTCAGCATTATTCCTTCTTCTTTCAAGGATAACCATGTCTTTACCTGCCTTATGAGCATTGTCCTCCTATAGCTACATATATGCTCTAGTCTACTCAAACTGACACAGTGGTTTTTCTTAAACAGTCTCTGGGCTGTCATTTCTCTGAGTCACTATTCAGGCCATTTTCTATCAGAAAGGCCCCCTCTCCTTCAACCCAAATTTCTGCTCACAGAAATTCTATCCATCTTTAAAGAAGAATCAAATAAAACATTTATTCTGTAGCATTTCATAGTTTTTAAACCTTTCACTGACGTGACTTCTCCCTTATCTGATACATCATAACCTTTCGAAACTCTTAAGAATTACCAGAAATTGCTGTATATAACTCTAGTGTCTTCACATGCTTTACTGTTCTTATCAGAGAGGAGACTCTGAGGGCAAGGATGTCACTCTTTCCCATATTTACCACAGAAACCAGTCAAGCACCTATGTACAAGAGCTGCTCAAATTTTTGTTAAATATGAAAAGCTCACTAAATTGGGCTAAGAAAAAAACTATTCTAAAGTGATATCAAAGAATACAATTGCATGTCTTACTTAATACTACTATTGCTGAGGCTTCTGGTTTATGATGGTGAATTAAACACATGCACAAATTTATCTCCTCTTTTTCCCCAGGCCCTATCAAAATGATAGTCAAAGAGTAAAAATGGTAGATGTTCACAATAATGGAAAAAACAGGAATAGGCCTCCACAGAAGAGAGTTTAAAAAATTTGTGGAAAATGAAGAAAACAAAGAAATGGTTAACTGATGAAGCTGGAAGGAAGTCACAGTCTTCAGTGCTCTCATTAGAGGCTACAGCAGGAAAGGATTTGCCTATTAGAACTGTGAGGCTCTGGACTTGTAGTCATGTCCCTACCCAGAGAGCAGAGGTAAGACATGAGGCTGAACTTCTGTAAAAAGAATAGTCAACTTACTTGACTCCATGCAAAAAGTTAAGTGTTCTTGGAGAATCAAGCAACAAGAATGGCTGCTGGTACCCTAGAGCAAAGCCCTCCACATTCTGGTATTTAGGATTTTGCCTCCAACTTAACATTTAGCACTCTTGTCTGCTTTCTCTATAGCAAAGTCTAATCAGTTGATAGTCCCCACTGAACAATATGAAACACTTACTCGGCTTTGCAGCCTGATTTCTAAATATGAACATAATCAAGGATAATCAGACATTCAAGGAAAGCCTGCAATGAAAAAGACCAAAATAGGAAGACCACAACTTACAACCAAAAAGAATGAGATAATCCAAAGAACAAAAGCAAACTAATAGCCTAAACAGGCTATTCTAACACAGAAGAGTATGCAGAAAGTCACACTATTTTATAGAATGGTCAAGACGACTTTTTTGGTCCCACTAAGCACTTCAAGTGGATTTACAAAATGATTTCATCCAGGATCTGAGTTTTTCTCATCTCTTCAACCCTCATCAACATTGATTTGTGTAACATGGTAACAATTATAGGCTGAGAGGTACTGAGACTTCAAAAAGTAAGCCTCTGCCCAAGTTTTAAAATGTCAGAGCTTGTTAGGGCTCTGTGTTGAGTCCTCTTCTCTTTCTGCCTTTTGCCTTGATGATCTCATCTACATGCCATAAAGTCCATCAAGGCAGAGGACTACTCTCTCTTCATTGTAGCTTCAATGCCCAGAACAATGTCCAGCACATAATGAAAAGGGAAGGCTGACATTACGCTTGCCTCTCCACTGAGCTCTAGGTCAGGACGAACAGCTACTTGCTTGCTGTCTCCACACATATTGTCTCACCAGTACCTCTGAACATTCTAAACTTGATCCCTTCTTTCCCATTTGCCTAGTAGTATATACTAAAAACCTGGGTATCATATTTTGTCATTTCTTTCCATTTTCTCTCCCTAGTTTCAGTCTACTAGCAACATCTACTGACTTTTGCCAATCTTAAATCTACCTATTCCACTGCATCTCTACTGTCACCATCCTAGGCACCAGCCATTTCTTGCCTGACTAGAGAAACCACCTAATAATCATAGGCTCTAGATCATAGAAATATAATACTTTCTTTCTTACCTTCTTAAAATCCATCCATTAAAAACTCAGAGATCTTTCAGAAACTTAATCTGACACTTCCCTACTTGAAAAATTTCTTCTTATGGCTAACAAGGCCTTGTGCTTCTGCCCCTCCTTATTTCTTAAATCTCATCTTGTGCATTCTCATCTTTGCTCACCACTCCCCAGTCACACTGATCGCCTAATAATTTCTAGTAAACACCAAGCTTTTGCTTCAAAGTCTTTGTTATCTCTCTGTCCACGATGTTCTTCATTCCATTTTTTTGCATGGCTGCATCCTTCTCCCACACTTTAGTTTACCACCTTTAATATTATGCCCTTTAAAAAAGTCTTCTTGATCATTCTATAAAGTAGTCTTCCTTTTTATACACTCTTCTCTGTTAGAGTATCCTGTTGATTTCCTTCTTAGTACTTACCATAAGCTAAAATTACCATTTTCTTTATTAATGTGTCTCTTTCCTACTTAACTGTTAGCTTCTTGAAAGGGAGACACCACACTAATTTTGCTCACCATTGTACCTTCAGTCCAGTGCCTAGCAGAGGAAATGCTCAATAAATTATTTGTTGATTCAATAAAGGCCACCATGCTTTAATCAGCAGGTCATAGACTGTGAGTTAGTCTAAGGACATCTATGGCAAGAAGCATCAGGAGGATGAGAGATCTATAAAATTATAAATATTCTTAGCCTCCAAAATAATATGATAGTTATTAACAGTCTATTTAAATTCTAATATGCACTTTGTGTAACTGTACTCAATTTCACCAATATTAAAAACCTACCCATTTCTCCTAGAGCTAGACAAAACATTTATCAAAAACTTACTATAAACTTAAAAGTCTCTTAGGAGGTGTCGAAGAGCAGTATTTGAAATGATTCCCATTTACTTATATTAGCACATTCTAAGAACAGTTTCTATTGTCCACTACAATCTAAACTTCCTTATAAAATATTATATATTGGAATATTGCTATGTTATGAAGCTCAGTAAAAAGTAGATTCATCCTGTCCAAAGTAGTTTATCACTAAAGTGCTTAAAGTACCATATTACAGTTTCACCTTTAAGAAAATCGCATGGGATAGGCCTCAAAGAACATCTTACATCAAAGCTACTCTAGTCTT